GTGTGTGTGTGTGTGTGTGTGTGTGTTTGTGGCCCAGTGCCCCACCAAAGCCAGCGCCATAAGACCGGCCTGGAAATCTCCATTTGCTTGCCATGTGTCTGCACAACACTTCTGTGAGTGAAAAGTTGTCTCGGATTCGCCAGCATCTGCAGTTCCTACTACTTCTGTGAGTGATATGAGTTAGATTCTCCATTATATTTTCACTGAGAGATAGGTATTCGACATTAATCAATGCTCCACATTAATGTAACATTTCAAACTCTTAAAAACAATGGAACAGAACCGAAACCGTGCATATACCACCTTTGCTGGTACAGACATTTTGTTTTCGAAAAGAAACCACGAAAATCACTGCAGGAAACAATGCAAAACTCTCGGGTTGTTGAATACAATCAGAGCATCGGGAACAGACTGGATTCAGGTGGTCCCGTACACCTGAGAGACTCAAAAGATTGGACGGAGAAATGTTCCCCTACCTGATCGGAGAGGCTGGTACAAGAGCCGGTGAAATCCTCCAGGTCAGACTTCGAGCCTCCATCACGGTCCTCTATCACCAGGTCAATGGGCATCTTGCCCTTTAAGCAGCTGATGTAGCGGTGGCAGAAGTTATCACATAACTCGTGGACCTGCGGCAAATCCCAGATAGAAACGGGCAAAGGTTGAGCCAAGCAAAGTTTCGAGGCGGGTAGGACAATACGTACATGGTAACATGGGCAGGAAACACAGTCACTCCACACAGCCACGCTCACATGAGAGGGAATCCAACAATTCCATGGCTTAATGAAGGGCACGATACAATTTCCTTGAGTTCATATCTAGAGTTTACCATAGTTAATGGTAAAGCCCTGGGGCTTGTTGTTAAACAGATAGACTGAGAGGTGCAGGTGCACAGAGAGTGGCATCACAGGTAGATAGGGCGGTGAAGAAGAGGATTGAGTATAGGATAACACAGTGTAGAGCTGGAGGAACACAGCAGGCCAGGCAGCATCAGAGGAGCAGGAAAGCTGACGTTTCGGGTCTGGACCCTACAGGAGCTGGCTCTACAGGTCATTGGTAAGGCCATGTTTCTTTTCTGTATTCATTCACGGGATGAGGGTGTCACTGGCCAGGCAGCATTTATTGCCCATCCCTCATTGCCCAGGGGGCAGTTAAGAGTCAACCACATTGCTGTGGGTCTGGAGTCACATGTAGGCCAGACCAGCTAAGGATGACAGTTTAACGATAACAAAGTATGAAGAAGGGTCCTGACCCAAAACCTCAGCTTTCCTGCTCCTTTGATACTGCCCGGCCTGCTGTGTTCCTCCAGCTCCATACTGTGTTATCTCTGACTCCAGCATTGGCAGTTCTTACTATCTCAAGGATGGCAGTTTCCTGTCCTAAAGGACGTTAATGAACTAGATGGGCTTTTCCGACAATCGGCAATGGTTTTACTGTCATCATGAGGCTCTTACTTCCAACTTCTTGTTAAACACAAATGCCACCATCTGCTGTGGTGGGATTCAAATCCAGGTCCCCTGAATGTTAAACAACAAGGTGCAGGGCTGGATGAACACAGCAGGCCAAGCAGCATCATAGGAGCAGATGCTGCTTGGCCTGCTGCATTCATCCAGCCCTGTACCTTGTTGTCTCGGATTCTCCAGCATCTGCAGTTCCTACTATCCCCAGAATGTTATCTGGGCCTCTGGGTTAACAGTGCAGCAGTAATAGCATAAGTCATTGCCTCCCCTACTGCGTACCATGTACAGTCCTCATCTACCTGAAGTAGAAAGAATGTTATTAAACTGGAAAAGGTGCAAAAAAGATTTACAAGGATGTTACTGAGACCGAAAGGCTTGGGTTACAGTGAAAGGCTGGAAAGGCTGGTACTTTATTTCCCTGGAGCACAGTAGGTTAAGGGGTGACCTTATAGAGGTTTATAAAACAGTGAGGGGGGTGGATAGGGTGAATGGCCAAGATCTTTTCCCTGGGGTGGGGGAGTCCAAAACTAGAGGGTATAGGTTTAAGGTGAGAGGGGAAGGATTTAAAAGGGACCTGAGGGGCAATTATTTCATGCAGAGAGTGGTGCGTGTATGGAACGAGCTGCCAGAGGAAGTGGTGGAGTCTGGTACAACATTTAAAAAGCATCTGGTTGGATATGTGAATAGGAAGGGCTTAGAGGGATATGGGCCAAACACAGGCAAATGGGACTAGTTCGGTTTAGGATATCTGGCTGGTATGGACGAGCTGGGCCGAAGGGCCTGTTTCTGTGCTGTATGACTCTGTGACTCACAGGCCAAAACCCTCTCACATTCCTTTTAAACAACTGGGACCAGGAATTGTAAAGGTGGAGACATCATTGGAGAAATGGACCCAGTGAGTGTGTGAACAGTTTTCACTCACAGACCAGTAAAGAGGGACTTGGACACAGATTAAGAGAGATGTTTGCTGGTTTGGCTTCAGCCTTGCAAATTCCCATTCTGCTTGTATTTCCACCAGGACCGTTCAATCCCAGCTGTGACAGGGATAGACAGTGCCCAATGGCATCTTTCACAGCAGGTTAGGGTCAGGTGAAACATAGACAGGAATTCAGAGCATATGGGCCGATCCTCTATCTCCATGCAAACTTCACGCTTTCTCCCTATATGCCCAAATGCCTATAATTGCGAATCATTTATCCAACACCTTCCTGAATATTTTCAGTGACTACAGGGGGAAGATTGGACCCAGCACTTTCCAAAGATGTGCAGGCTAGGTTGATTGGCCATGCTAAATTGCCCATAGTGTGCAGGGATGTGTAGATTAGGCGTGTTAGCCATGGGAAATGCAGGGTTACAGGGAAAGGGTAGGGAGATGGGTTTGGATGGGCTGCTCTTCGGAGGGTTGGTGTGGACTTGCTGGGCCGAACGGCCTGTTTCCACACTGTAGGGATTCCATGATAAACAGAACAAGCTACCACATGTGGATCAGCGGGTAAGAGGGTGAGGGGGTGAAGTGGGTAAGCTGGTTGCTGGTTAATCAGCAGGTTGGGGGCAATTGGGTAGAGTGGGGTGGGAGGTAAGGGGAGCAGAGCGAGGTTCGTCAAGGCTGGGTTGCGGGTTAGTCGGGTCAGTGGGGGAAATGTCCAGGTAGTACCCAAAATGGTGTGGAGCCTGGACAATTTGGCTACATGCCTCTGGAACCCAGATAGCTGACCCTTTGGACTGAATGCCAAGACACCAGAGAGGGGTTTGAAAAGGATTCACATGAGAAAGGGTCTGAAGAAGGGTCTAGGCCCGAAACATCAGCCTTCCTGCTCCTCTGATGCTGATTGGCCTGATGTGTTCATCTAGCTCTACACCTTGTTATCACATGAGAAAGGCTCCATTTGTGGAGTCAAGCCCTTCAGTCCTTCCAATGGGAAAGCAGGGAGTTTGGGGAAAGCCCCCAAACCCCTCCCACCTCAAGCCAGATGTTACTTTTAGCTGGACGTGGGGGATGGTCTTCACAAGAACAGCATCAGATGGTAACTCTGAAGAGGTGGCACCATCAGGACATCCTTACCCCCTTCACCCTCTCCCCCAGCAACGTGGGGTCTTTTCTGTCCAGATAAGGCATCAATTTAATGTCTCATCTGAGAGAAGACATCACAGGATATAAACCAGCAGAGCTATGGGGCGAGAACGGGGTGGCGTTGGCACTGACTGGTTTGGTCTACAGGGACATGGTATGGGCTTGGTGGGCCGAACGGCCTGCATCTATGTGGTTGGTAATGCGGCACTCCATTTGTAATGTCTTGGAATCTCAGTGCAAAGATTCTGTGCTCAAATCTCAAGGGTGGGACTTGTATCCAACACCCTCTTACTGACAGGAAGACAATGATCCATTCCATGGATCTCCACATGGCTAAACAACTTCATTTTTTCCAAAGGGTTACGGCAATATTCAACATTTTCTGTTTTACAGAAGTGCCAAGTGGATGATTCATCTTGGCCTCCTCCAGTGGTCCCCAACGCTACAGATACCGGTCTTCAGCCAATTTGATTCACTCCACGTGATATCAAGAAACAGTTGGAGACACTGGATACTGTAAAGGTTACGGGCCCTGACAACATTCCGGCAATAGTACTGAAGACTTGTGCTCCAGAAATTGCCGCTCCCCTAGCCAAGCTGTTCCAGTACAGTTACAACATTGGTATCTACCCAACAATGTGGAAAATTGCCCAAGTATGTCCTGTACAGAAAAAGCAGGACAAATCCAGCCCGGCCAATTACTGCCCCATCAGTCTCCTCTCGATCATCAGTAAAGTGATGGAAGGTGTCAGTAACAGTGCTATCAAGCAGCACCTGCTCAGCAATAACCTGCTCAGTGACGCCCAGTTTGGGTTCCGCCAGGGCCACTCAGCTCCTGACCTCATTACAGCCTTGGTTCAAACATGGACAAAAGAGCTGAATTCCAGAGGTGAGGTGAGAGTGACAGCCCTTCATATCAAGGCTGCATTCGACCGAGTGTGGCATCAAGGAGCCCTGACAAAACTGGAATCAATGGGTATCAGGGGGCAAATGCTCCGGTGGTTGGAGTCATACCTGACACATTGGAAGATGGTCGTGGTTGTTGGAGGTCAATCATCTCAGCTCCAGGACATCTCTGCAGGAGTTCCTCAGGGTAGTGTCCTAGGCCCAACCATCTTCAGCTGCTTCATCAATGACCCTCCCTCCATCATAAGGTCAGAAGTGGGGATGTTCGCTGATGATTGCACAATGTTCAGCACCATTCGTGACTCCTCAGATACTGAAGCAATCCATGTTCACATGCAACAAGATCTGGAGTTGGGCTGACAAGTAGCAAATAACATTCGTGCCACACAAACGGCAGGGTATAACCATCTCCAACAAGAGAGAACCTAACCATCACCCCTTGGCAACCATCACTAATCCCCCACTATCAACATCCTGGGTGTTACCCTCAACTAGAAAATGAACTGAACTGGACTCACCACATAAACACAGAGGCTATAAGAGCAGGTCAGAGGCTGGGAATCCTGCGGTGAGTAACTCCCCTCCTGACTTCCCAAAGCCTGTCCCACCATCTACACGGCACAAGTCAGGAGTGTAATGGAATACTCCCCACTTGCCCTGGATGGGGGCAGGTCCAACAACACTCAAGAAGCTCGACACCATCCAGGACAAAGCAGCCCCCACTTGATTGGCACCACATCCACAAACATCCCACTCCCTCCACCACCGACGCTCAGTAACAGCATGTGTACCATCTACAAGACGCCCTGCAGAAATTCACCAAAGATCCTCAGACAGCACCTTCCAAACCCACGACCACTTCCATCTAGAAGGACAAGGGCAGCAGATACATGGGAACACCACCCCCTGCAAGTTCCCCTCCGAGCCACTCACCATCCTGACTTGGAAATATATCACCGTTCCTTCAGTGTCGCTGGGTCAGAATCCTGGAATTCCCTCCCTAAGGGCATTGTGGGTGTTCCCACATCAAATGCAGCAGTTCAAGAAGGCAGCAACTCACTGGCACCTTCAGAGGGTGATTAGGGATGAGTAATAAATGAGTGCCAATGATGCCCACATCCAACGAATGAATGAAAAAAGCTGACAGCCCAGTGCCACACTGGTATTGCCACATGAAATGGCCCAATATAAG